ACAGGCAGGTGGAAGCTGCCATCGTGGATATTGCACAGAGTGAGGAGATGGCAGGCCACGGTGAGTGCTCTGTCACCTTCCATGCCTCTCTGAGAGGAGCTTCTGAGCCTGGCTCAGGCTCTCTCCAGTGCTTTCCTGAATTGGGGATGGGCTCTCCAGTGCTTGCTGCACCTTCTGGCCCTGTTTGTGTGGCAGAGGGGTCACTGCTGAAGACCTTGCAGTGCTAATGCTGAGCACGCCTGAGCAGGCCATGTTGTCTGGTTTCTTGCTTTCCAATGATGTTTTTCTTTCTCCCCTTTTCCCTGTATAAGCAATTAAAAACATCTTGCAGGAAGGAGCTCCACAACCTTAATGCAACTATGTGGCTTTCAAATCTGCATCCTGCTGACTTTATTTAATGGCCCCTACCCTTTCCTAGACCCTTTTTCCATGTGTTCTGTGACTTAGCAGGACTAGCAGTCAGCTCTAGCCCCTTGCTTACATACCTAAAGCAGACATGAGCACTGCCAGTTCCCAGTGACATCTCTGGCCACTGCAGGATTAGAGAATGAGGAGCAAATGCTTTTCTTTTGTGGAAGTAAGCCAGATTTTGTTGCCTGTGTCTCTGCACTGCTGAATGACACTCTGAGGTTTAACTGGCAATCTGAGGTTTTCTGGCTGGAAACAAACCTGCTTCCTCAAACAATGAAAAGAAAGCCAGTATTAGCCTCGTTTTTCACAAAGTCCTGGCAGGCTGTTGGCACTGCTGAGGCCAGGCAAGGCAAGGCTTCAGGGTGACAGTGGGACAACTGAGGAGAGGCAGAATATTTTTTGTGACAGTCACTGAGCATCGCTCTGATCTCAGCTACTTCCCAGGGAGGGCACAGATGATGTGGGATGCTGCTGGTGCTTGTTGGCTCTCTCAAGCATAGGCCTTGGAATGCTGTTTCTGCGGATGGATGCTGAGCTCCTGCATCTCCCTCCAGGCATGATGGACCTGCAGTACTTAGTCAGCAAACTGTGCCAGCACGAGCACCTGGCCAGCCTGGGCAGAGAGCTCCTCCAGGACATCCTGCGGTACCTGCACCGCATCGGGCTCGTCGTGTGGTACGAGGAAATCAAGCACTTGGAGAGCACCGTCTTTCTCCAGCCCACATTCTTAATAACGATGTTCAAGGTGAGTGTAGGGGTCAGGACCATCTCTGGAGAGCCAGCAGCTTTGCTGGGCTCCTGTCACCGCCACCTCACGTCTCCTTGTCTCGCCGTGCAGCTCCTGGTGCGGCACCACCTCATCCAGCAGCTGGAGGGCATCTCCGTGGAGACACTGATCGGGGAGCGTGCCACCATCAGAGACAGAGCCAACTGGGTGTGCACCTTCAAGTCAAAGGCAATGCTGTGCCACCGGGCTGTGCGTGCCTTGGTGAAGCACCAGCTCTGCTCGGAAGGGATGTGGGATGTGTTTGAGGAAATCATGGGACACAGGCCTCACAGAGGGAGAGGGAAGCTCTTCAGCCTCCTGGAGCACTTTGAGCTCTGCCTGGAGGTGAAGCACACCGGGGCACTCAACCCACAGGCCAGGGAGTTTGTGCCTGGGAAGCCGTGGGAGACAACACGGAGCCAAGGCGAGTCCTGGTACTTGTTCCCAACCTATCTGAACCAGACAGAGGAAGTGTCTGAGGTGTGGGGAGGAGACCACCCCGAGGACCTCCACATCCGTGCCTACTTCTCACCCGAAATACCTGAGGGCTTCTTCCAGAGGTAAGCACTGGTTTCTGGCCATCAGTGAGGTTGTGGAATGGAGTTTGCTCTGTGCAGTGCCAGGATGACTCTCAGCAAGCCTTGAGACTGAACCTGCTGATCCTGAGGCTGGCAGTCAGGATACCAGGGTGGCTTCTCAGCTGCACCACACACGTGTGGGGCCCTGGGTGAATCCCTTGAGATGTTCACTGCCTGCATGTGAGCAAAGGCCACGCTCCTTCTGGTTCCCCTTTCATCTGGGGGGTGTTTGGCTAATCTATGCCCATACAGGCAGGCAGAGGTCTCACGGTGTCACCCAAGAGTGTTCTAATTTCTATGAGTGCTGGAACTGTACCAGGTTTTGGAAATTTTCCTGGCTTTATGGACTTGTGTCTAGAGTTTTATCTGATGGTGTTGTGGTTAAACCCCAACCAGCAACCAAACACCACACAGCCACTTGCTCACTCTCTCCAGCCAGACTGGGGAGAGAATCAGAAAAGTGAGAAAACTCATGGGTTGAGATAAAGACAGTTTAATAGTTGAAATAAATTAGAATTATAACAGCAATAGCAATGATAATAATTTTGTAATGAAAAGGAAATCAGCAAAGAGAGAAATAAAACCCAAGAAGAACAGGTGATGCAAATAAAAAACAATTGCTCAGCACTAACAAACTCATGCCCATCTGCTCCCAAGCAATGGTCCCCCAGCCAGCTCTCCCCCAGGTTTATATGCCGAGTGTGATGTCACTGGGTATGGGGTAACCCTTTGGTCATTTGGGGTCAGCTGTCCTGGCTGTCCCCTCCCAGCTTCTTGTGCCCTCCCAACCCCCTCACTGGCCGGGCAGCCTGAAAAACTGAAAAATCTTTGACTTGATATAAGCCCTGCTCAGCAGCACCTAAAACATCAGTGTTTTATCCACATCATTCTCATCCTAAATCCAAAGCACAGCACTGTACCAGCAACTAGGAAGAAAATTAATTCCATCCCAGACAAAACCAGGACAAGATGGCCAACTCTGGAAGGATCTCTTGGTTTAAGAGACTGCTCCTACTGCTTGAGGTTTCAGTAGGAGAAGGTCCTCATTTGGTGTCTGTTCTTTCTGAAACTCGGTTCATATTTTCAAGTCAATCTGATGCCAGCTTTCTCCCAGAATTAGGGATAAGCTAGGAGAAAAGTGGTGAAAGCCATGGGCAATCTCCTTGCAGGTTCCTGGTGAAAGCTTGCTCCTTCTATTCCACACACTGGGTGGCCAAGGTAACCTGCCTGCTTGTATGCAATGGCAGACCTCTGCTGATCAAAGAGAATAACCAGAGGGCCTACAGCTACCTGGAGCTCCGCTGCAGAAAACCATCAGAAAGGACAGGTAAGATCCCTGATTCATATTTCATGTCTCTCCTTATCTCTGCCCCTGCCACCTCCAGCCCGATGGGAAGTGTCCCAAGAAGCCTCTGCCACATGTCCTAGTCTGGCCTGGGTCCACCAGCAGTACACTTAAAAGTTTCCCCTTTCTCCATGCAATTCTGTTCAGGACTCCCTTAGAGGTATCACATGAAAGTGGAAAGTCAAGTTTTCATTCTTGTCATGAAGCAAATGGATCGTCCTTCCCCAGCAGAGTACAGTCTAAGGCTGGGTCCTCAAGTCATAAGCCAAAGGGCCTCCCAAGTTGGGGAGTTCTTCCAAGATATCCTTAAATTCCTTATGGAGGTTTGGTCAACTGGAGAAACGGAGCTGGTCTGACAACTGAGGCTGCGGGCTGGAAGTGATGTGTGGGTCACAACAGAATCTCCTGGGCTGCTGTGGCTGGGGGCTGTAAGAAAGCAAGACATTCTCCTTTCTCTTGGAAGGGTTCCAGCTTGCCTGGGACTTCCTGGTGGCAGTGGTGCTCCTGATGCAGAAGCTCTCTGAGGAGTGGCCGGGGCTGCACGTGTGTGTGAAGTCTCCGTGCCGAACGTCCGGCTGTCCCGCCGAGCTCCTCTGGCCGGACATGGATGGCACAGGTGCCACGTACGTACACTCTGTGCCCTCTGGGCAAGGCTGGGGCCTGGCTGCTCGCTGCTGCAGTGCTGGTGCAGCTGGCCAGCCTCTAAAAGCCGTGTGAAATTAGTCACGGAACTCAGCAGGCACCACAGTGCCCTTCTCCCGCCCGCAGCAGCTCGTGTCCGTGTGGTGCTAGCACTTACTGGTGTGGGAAATTGGAGCATGGAGGGAAAGGAGAAGAAGCTGAGACTCTGGGGCTCAGGCACATAGTGTTCACTCTGGACATGTGCCCACATGTCCCTGTTTCATGAAGAGATGAAGGTGCTCAGGCACCTGGGAGGGCAGCGGCTGTCCCACCAACAGCTGCACCCCAGGTCAGGGTGGGAAGAGCAAGCTCTTCCATTGCCTTGATTCCATGGGAAGTGCTGAGGGCAGCTCCTGCTCCTTCTTTCCTGGGCTTTTTCCTCCACAGGACAAAGGAAGACGTTAAAACCTGTGGGACGTGTGGGCACCGTTTTGGTGCAGAGCTGCTGCTGCCCAAAGGTGAGCCCAGTGTCCTGAGTTTGTGCTCAGGGGAAAGAGGGCTGAGGGTTTCATGGAGCTGAGGTGACAAGGGTGTCCCATTCCCACAGTACCCAGGCCACTGGAGGAGCCCCCAGCACAGCCCTCTGCTCACTATTACGTGACAAGCTATGGGACCACCACCTTTGGGCCCAGCAGCATCCAGGTCACTAGGCAGGTAAGGACACTGCTACCTCCCCTTGCCCAGGGACCAACAGTGGTGGTCAGGCTCCTGAAATGAGGAGGTGCAGTTGTTTTCAGCCTGGGGAGGGCACACCCTATCTTCAGGCAGCCCCCTGGTTTCCACGCTCCTCCCTGAGATACCACCCCCTCTGCACCTCTGAGCTGCTGGTCTGGGTGTGTGTTTGTTGTAGTTACTGCCTTGTTTTTCCAGAACATCTCCAGTGAGTAACCCTGGGCCAGTGCTCAATGAAGAATTACTTTTGTTCAGCCCGAGCCAAGCTGTCCTCAACACATTCTGCTTGCAAGTCATGTTTGCAGCCTTAATGCATGGAAATAAATGCATTGATAAATGCATCCCTTCACACTGGGAAGTCACCTCACCTACTCACATTTAAGGGGAAGAAGGTGCTGATAAATCTCTCTGATACCAGCCTGCTCCTGCCAGCAGGGACTTTGCTGAAACAAGGCTGGGCACAGACCCCCGTGGTTTTGGGGGTAGAAGGGGTTGGTGAAGATTTCAGACTGATAGCAGAGGCAGATATCCAGGCAACAACAGCAAGAGAGAACTACATTTCTATACATATATATTTTAACTTGGAAAAATTAAGAAATCAGTAGATTACCACACTCCACAAAAACACAGACTAGAAGCTGACGGAGGGGAAAAGCAACGTGTGAGCTCCAGAAGTGGTCCTCGGGTGAAGCTGCCCTTGGGTTGGGGGGTGCTGGTTTGCAGAGCCTGGGATGCTCAGTGGTGCTGCTGCCTGTGCCTGGCCGTGGGGAGCGGGGCAGGTGTGGGTCAGCCCAGCTGCATGTTGTACTGCTCGATGAACTCCATGAGGTCGAAGGAGTTGGAGAGCTGCAGGCTGATGGTGTGGCTGTCCAGGGAGGAGGCTCCTGCCTGCAGCGCCTTCTCATAGTAGTACTCGCAGACCTTGGGTACCAGCTGCAGCAGCAAAACATCGGGGTTAGGGGCAGCTGCCTGATACAACTGGAACAACCTGCATGGCCCTGTCCTCCTGCAGTGCAGGGAGGAGATGTCTGGGACATCCTTTGTCTCCCCCAACCCCTGAGGGTCCCTGTCCTTGGGCAGCTGCCTTCCACACCATCCCACCCAGACCCCAAGCATCCTCTGGCCCACGCTCACCCCGTGTTTTCCCTGGTCCCCTGATTGTGCAGCACCCCATGCCTCCAAGTGTCCCCCTCCCCTGTCACTCAATTCCCCCACCTCTCTTAGCCCCCAGGGTACCCTCTCCTTGGGTATCCAGATGTCCATCTGCCCCAAATCCTGAGGGCTCCCAAATCCCCATCTCCACTGCACACTGCGGGTCTCCCTCCTTGCTCATCTAAGCACTCATCTCCCCTGACCCCTGAGGCTCCCCCTGCCCAGTCCCTGAGGAAACTCCATCATCTCTCCATCACCTAGGAGTCCCCATCCCTGGGCACCCAGAATCCCACCGGTCTCAGTCCCCAGGGGTCCCTCTTCAGGCACCCAGACCCTCCATCTCCCACCCACCTCAACCTCGAGGCTCTCCCTCCTGAAAGACCCAACATCCCAGCTCCCCTGGCCTCCATGGGTCTCTCCCCTTCCCTGGGCAGCAGTGGGCTAGTGGTGGGTTTTGGCTATTGCACCTTGACCAGGATGAGCTTGGACTCCTTAGGCTTGTCCTTGGAGAAGGCCTGCCCAAAGCAGAGGTAGATGGTGAAATCAGGGGATCGCCGCCTTTGGCCATTGTAGAAGTCTATCAGTTCTGTGAGGCAAAACAGAGCTCAGTTTTGGGGTGAGCCTGGGGGAACAGAGGGGCTGGGAGGGTTTGGACGCCTGTAGAATCCTGGGGCTGGCTCCTATGAGCCCCAAACCAGGCTGGGCAGGAAACAACACGTGGGGAACTGCAGTGACACCCCTACCCACCCGTGCGAAACTCGCTGAAGTCAAAGATGGGCGTTTCCTGGTTCCGGTAGAGCAGGTTGGGTGGGGGCTCCTCGCCCCCTTCGAGCTGTTGGGACAAGGCCCAGAACACCTTGCACTTCTCCCGGCGGGTGGCGAAGACCTTGGAGGCGCGGATCTCCAGCTGCAGCCCCGCGACGCCCAGCAGATCCTCGGTGATGCGCCGCTGCTTCCCGTCAGCCACGCTGGCGGGGCTGGGGAAGTGCACCACGTGCCAGGGGGAAGGCACCTCCGCCAGGCTGGGGGGCTGGTAGGTCAGCAGGCAGTGGCTGCCCCCAACCACCTCCCGATGGAACTCCTTCCCCCGGTAGTAGATGGTGACATCCAGGATGCCATCTGCACCAGGAAGCGATCAGCCGCCGCATCCTCCAAACCGAATTGTTCCCCCTCCCCAAAGCACCCCCCGAGCACGTTTACTGTTAACAATCGAAATAATGATTTATAGCTATTAATAATTAATTAATAATTAATAACCCTCACCTGTGTTAGCCCGCAGCAGCTGTGGCTGTGGCACAGGGCTGGCAGCAGGCACCAACAGCGTCGCCTCCGCCGCGTACTGCACGGGGACCGTGGCCTCCGTCAGCTGGCACGGTGCTGGCACAGCCCCTGCAGCAAGGGGACACGGACAGCATCGGCATCACCGCTCCAGATGGAGCAGGTTCGGGCTGCTTTGGCACCCACCCTCTTCCCACCCCATTATGGCACTCCCACAGCCAGGGCCAGATCCTGCCCCAAGGCACCCACCTGTCTCCTCCGGTGGCACGAGGCCCGCTGGTTGGTAGGTGTCCAAGGTAGGCTGCTCCACCGTGGGCACCCATTCTTGAAATGTCGTGGGAGGGAAGCAGCTGTTTCGGCTGATGTCTGCATAAGGCTGGAGCAGGGTGTCCTGGTGAGGCTGGAGCAGGGTCTCCTGATGAGGCTGGAGCAGGGTCTCCTGATGAGGCTGGAGCAAGGTGTCCTGGTGAGGCTGGAGCAGGGTGTCCTGGTGGGGAATGTCCTCTGCAGGGAAATCATCTGTGGGGTCACTCACCCAGGCAGTCACCAACTCTGCACCCCACGAGCAGAGCTGTGCTCACCTGCACAGGATGTGGCCAGCAAACAAAAGTTGCGGGGAGAGATGTCACACTGCTGCAGCAGCTCCTCCAGAATCGAGAGCTGTGTGGGGTCGGTGCTTTCTAAGGGGGAGCACAGTGGGTAGGATGTCTCACAGCCACAAAATCAGCCCCAGTTGAGCCTAGTGGGTGTCGTCCCACAAAAAAAGATTGTGGGACTAGTGCTTACCTGGGACGGTGACTGCTGAGGCCACGTCTTGGGGGTGGAGCTCCAGCTGGCAAAGGAAGGAGAATGGGATCTTACTGCTGTGGTTCCCAGGCACCCAGCCTCCCCCAGCCCACTGGCCAGGTGCAGGGCTGCAGTTTGGGAGCAATGCTTGTGGAGTGACAGCAGGGAACCCCCTGGTCTGCTGTGCCCACCCAGCTACCTGCAGCTGCTCGTGTGCCACCTGCTGGGCCACCACAGGGTTCAGGATGCTGGAATCTCCCTCCTTGCTGTCCTGGAGGGCGGCTGAAAGGAGACCACCTGGAATGGGACGTCCTGAGATTGCCCACCCCACCCAGCACAGCCCCTCCATGGGGCGAGGCTCACCTGAGACAATGGAGAAGACCTTGTGGGGGTCATCACCACGCTTGGAATGGTCGTATTCCAGCTTGAACATCTGTGTGCTGCTCAGGGCACAGCGGAAGTTGGTCTTCCACTTGGCCGGGTCCTCGGAGCCTTCCTCATACCGCCCACTGACCTTTGCCCAGGCCTGGGGGTGCAGGGAGGTGAGCATGGGGTCCCTGGCTCCGTGAGCATGGAAGTTTCCAGGGATGACTGGTCTTCCCCCTGCCTTCCCAGCTCCCACATCCCACCCACCTCGAAGACCGCAGCTCGCTGCTGGTCACCATCCCATGTCACACACCTTGACGACCCCGAGGCCGCTGCTGGCGACCCCCACCCCGCCCACCCTGAGGATCCCCACGTCCCACCCACCTTGAAGACCTCCAGGTCACTGCTGGTGATGTCCTTCCTGGCGTTGTGCTTCCAGGGGACGCGGAAGATGGTGCGGGCAGAGTCGATCCAGCGCAGCCCCCGGTAGGTCCCGCTGTCGATGGCGTTCAGCAGCCACGGTCCGAACCGCAGTTTCTGGGCTTCCCTGCGGGCGCGGGACCGTCACCGCGGGGACCGGGGCCACCCGACAACGGCGACCCGGGGCGGGCCGGGGGTCCTGGGCTCCGCTTACCCCTCCTTCTCCGCCGCTGCCATGGTGCCGGGTCCGCAGAGCCGAGCCGAGCCCTGCCGTGCCGGGTCCGCAGAACAGGGCCGTTCCGCGCCGTGGAGGGCGGTAACCTCGGCGCGGGGGCGGCCGCCTCCTGCCCGATTCTTTATCCGCCCCTCCAGTTTTTCTGGAAATCACGTGTCCCTTCCGAAAGTGAAACTGCCCCGCTCTCGGCGGGGCGGTGCCGCCGCTCCCGGAGTGCCCGTGGGATGGATGCTCCGGCCCCGGCGACGCCGCTGCGCAGCCCCGCGCAAACCCCTCTCCAGACTATCAGTAATTTATAAATAAATAAACCGGACCTAAGGCTGAGCGGGGGACTCCTGGAGCGCAGGGGATCGGCCGCACCCGCTCCAGCCGGGGCTTCCCGGGGCTGGAAACCCCCGGGCCGTGTCCAGATGTTTGTTTTAATCCTTCTCCCGGCTCTCTAGGTTTGCGCGCTAAGGCCGTGCTGCCAAAAATGACAAACCAATAAAGGCCAAAGTGCGGCGGGCAGCGCTCGGCACCGAGGCAGAGGCGAGCCAGCCCCTGCCTCCGACTGGAGGAGGGTCAAGGGCAGCAGCAGCCGCCTCCCGGCTCTTCCCGGAGCCCTTCGAGCTCTGCGGGGAGCCGTGAAACCAACCCGAACTCCCTGAAAGGCATTTCCAGTTCCTTACCCAAGGACCAGCAAAGGGTGGAGGGGTCAGTGGGGCTGAAGCACGGGACTGCAGCCTTTTTCCCAATGTGCTGCTTGAGGAAAATTCTTCTTTCCAGGAGTTCCCTACTGCCTGCTAGGCACTCTACATGCTTTTTCAGAACACTGCCTTTTGTTTCCCAGGAAATTTCCCACTTCCTTCCTAAAAAATCCCCCGTTGCTCTCCAGGAATTTTCCCAGTCACTTTGCGGGCTATTTCCTTCTTATTTCCTGGGAAATGTCTTTGTTGCTTTCTAGAGTCCTCCATTCCTGTCTACGATTTTTCCGTCTGCTTAGAGGATCTCCGTTGCTTTCCTGGGAAATTTCCCCATGACTGGAAAGCTCACATAGTTACAATTTGATGGGTGAAGGTGTGGGTGTCAATGTGTTTGAAATGGGTCCCAGTGTCTCTGCTGGCTTTGGGCAGCAGGGTTGTTGCAGAGCCCGGCTCCTGACACACACAAGGGAAGGCACAGCCTGAGTTTCTGAGCTTTGGGGTAACACAGGAGGTTCAAGGGGGGAAGATGTGGCAGGTGGTTCGGGAAGGCTCTGCCTTCCCTGTGCCTCAGCCAATGGGTAAAGGAAGAGGGGAACCTGGGACCGGGAGTTTAGGATAAAAGGAGGAACCTGGAAGCCCTCTGGAACCTGGAGGGAGAGAATCTCACAGGTGTGTGCCCTGATGGACTCTGTCCCTCTATTCGAGTGAAGCTGGAGAACTCCTCTGCCTCCTCTTTGGGCACAAACTTCTGGCGTTTGTGGGATTTTCCTGGCAATGGTGACTCGTCTGGGTCCGGCAGGAGGAGCTGGCAGCGCCTGGCCCGGTTTTGGTGACCGGCTCCCTTCGGCGCTGGCCAGCAGCAGGAGATTGATGGGGTGCTCTGACTGTCCAGGAGACAGGAGAGGCAGATCAGGAGTGTCCGTGAAGACTCCCCAGGAAAGGACCACTGGACATGGATGCCCAGAAGGGGCAGTGAGAGAAGGTTGAGGAGAGTCTCGGCAAATCTCACAGGTGAGTACAACCTGGGGGGG